CAGTAGTATGATTTGGCCGGTTTAAAAAGTGAAAATTTATAATCCCTTATTGCAAAGCAATCAGCATAAAGCTTCCTCTTTTTGTGGCCAGATTTGGGGTTTCTTCGCACTTATGACAGATGCACAACTCTGATGTTTTTGGGAGGCCCTGAAGACTTAAATAATTGGTAGTTCAATGTGATGACAGCACAAGTATGAAGAATCAAACAGATTTATTACAACTTTCCATTCCATCCCACGTATGGGAAGATATTGCTAAAGATACGGGAACAGGCTCACCTACAGCACCAAGCCTAGATACTCTGTAATGTCGCACTAAATGACTGAGTTCTCTAACATTCTTGCCCTCAAACACCCCTTTTTCACCTTGTCTACAATTTTCTCACTGGTTGCTACTATTTTTCCTTCAGATGCTGCTATTCTTCCATCCTATCATTAGCTCTTTTAAGTACTAGGAAAGATTCACCTAATGGGTTATCCATAATAATGGGTATTCACGTAAAACTATAAGCCCACAAAGTGGTGAATCTATCATTAACTGTAAGACGTATTTCTGGCCAAAAGACTATTTATAACCGGTCCATGCATTCCAAGAGTAATCATTAGACGTATATATTAAGAAGATCAACAGATAAGATAGAAAATGAACAGAGGAGGATAGCACGAAAATATAGAGATAATTCAGCATGTTTCTTTCAACTGTCTTAACAAATCCTTCAAACATCTGGCGAACAATTGATTTGACATAGAAGACTATAGAACTACCATTTCACCTATATAGATACCAAACCATTAAATATTGCATTATTCAGACACATAATAAAGAGTCGATTAGTTATAATGAACCAGAGCCCTAAAAATAGAAAATTCCAAGTGCATACATCCATAATTCAGATAAGGGATGAACCTATGATATCACAAGATCCAATAAAGATGTTTACTACAAGAAAAAGAGAGCTATTATCTCACAATGGCAATATGAACCTTAGGAAACAGAAAACAGACTCACCCTCCTATCATTCTTTGCATGGGATTGACGAAGGAAGAATCTGTGACAAAAAATAATTGCTGTGGCAATGGTTACCTGAGGTCTGTGTCACAAAAAAAAAAAAAATAATAATAATAATAATAAAATAAAATCAAAAACCAAAAACCAAAATCAACTTCATGATATGTTAAGTTATCCATCTTCAGTGCCATTTAACAGTACTTTCAATACAAGTAGCCAAAAAAATATAAATTTTCATAGATATTCAGTGATAAACTATATGGTTATACAGACAAAGCATCACTAGCACAACCTTGCCTTTGGAAAGTACCACCAAACAAAGAATCGAATTTAGCTGACCAAGGAAAATAAAATCCATAATAAATGTTAAACTAGTATAACAAGTGCAAATTACAGTTGAAATAGAGCTTTAACATTACCAAAAGAGAAAAACAGGCAAACAGAAAGCTGTCTGAATAACAGTGAACTCACACTTTAAGTCTCATGCCTAAATCTTGCAGAAAAGTACAATATGACTTGCGCAAGTAAGTTTCTTTCTTCAAATCTATGCCATCTTTCTTAGATGGTGAATTTTCTTCAATCTCCTTCCTAGCAAAGTACCAACGAGAACCATCCTCTTGCTTCTCTGGAGTGTGTCTTTGAGAACTCCCTTGATAAGTTCCATGATGAGAGACATCTCCAGAGAGCACTCCAGCCATGGTGTTGACAGATGACTATAGTTGTTCAGATTGTGTATATGATATCACAATGCAACGGCCAAGACTGTAAGGTACAGTTTCTTCCCTGCCCATTAACTATACGAATGAGGAAACAAGCATACACAATAAAAGAATGCTAGCAAAATATCCTTAAATTTTTCCTCCAACAGAAAATAAGACATACTTAACCGATTTCAAAATTTTCTTAATAAAAATATCCTCATATGTGACCAGTTCTTTTCTCAACCAAAAAAAAAAACACGCGACCAGTTCTTGGGCAACCAATTGAGGTATAAAAGAAAGGTATACCCCCTTAAATATGCTCCTAACTAAGCCTTATCCACACAAATGCTCATTAAATCTCCGCATCCAATGTTATGAACAAACATTATGCTATATATAAAAGTTTGAGATACGTTGTGAACAGATATTAAAGCAGCAGCATCCTCTCAATCAAAGAACCAAGGCACCGTGCCTCTATATGCCACGACTAAAGCAATCTATAATCACTAAATTAAACTCCAGTATGCACCTAGAGCTAACACATAACTAGCACAGCAATACAGAACAGAATAAGTTAGTTGAAGTTTGGTAACTTGCTTCACAAATGGCATTCATCACTCTCTCGATTATTACACAACAAGACCAGCAAGGAAGGGGGATTTTTTTTTTTTTTCCCCTCTTTACCACATAATCTCTTCTTTTATTGAGTAGAAAGGTCTGTTATGTCATAATGAACATAGAATGCAATCACATGACAACTGAAAGGTTAAGAATTTGTTATAAACGCTTGTTGAGAGTCAAGATCTCATCCTTGCATATCAAACTGTATTCTAGACACTTCTTTGCTTATATTAGACATTGAAGAAACACATAATTACTAAGATACATCATATTATGCCTAGTCTCAGTTTACGCTCTTCCATATGGCCAATTAATAGCTACATGAAAAAAGAAGGCAGTCAGGCAATCGACAAACCACGAGTCGCAACCAAAAACAAGGCATTCACCATAAAGCACTATTTGTTCATATAGAATTAGAATGTGAGAGCAACTTCGGAAAGCTCCCGATTTCATGTTAAGTTCATTACAAGAAAACGACAGTCCAGACATCAAGATCGTCTTGCAACCCCAGAACCCTAATCCCATCATTGGGCCCAGTCAACCGATAGCCGGTGTCAGCGACATTAATTTTTTCTAATAAATACCCCAACCATATAAGAAAAACTAAAATTTTCAGCACTCACAAGGATAATGGCACGAATCTAAAAAACTTACTTTCCAGTGAGGAAGAAGAGTTCGACAAGCTTCGATACAGTTAAATCTACAAGCAAAAAACAAAACACAAAAATTATGAGCCTCCCTGCACCCGCGTTGCTCTTATTGGGTAAGAACTGATGAATATGAAGATGATGAAGACGAAGGAAGAGAAGGGAAGATTATTTCTATCAGAGTTTTAGGGTTCTTCAGTGTGGAGAGGGGCAAAACAAAGGGCGACCCAAAAAAGAAGACACAGAAATAGCCTACGCCGTACAGCCCCGCCGGGACCCACCAAACACCCGATATTTCTTCTTCCGGTTTTTTAAGTTTTTTGTTTTCCACTTTTGTAAGAAAATTTTGACTCTTTATTGCAAAAACGCATGGATTTCGCCTTTTGCAGGATCCTTGGCAGGTAAATTTGCATGATTGTATGCATTTAAGGAGAGAATTTTGTAAGATATAGAAATTAAACAAATAGAAAGCAAAGTGAGATATGTAATTTTATAGTAGTTTTTAATTTTATTAATCCAACACATTATTTTAGATAATTTTAAATCCATTGAAATAAAATGTAATGAATAAAATCTTAATGAAGTTATCATGTGATATTTACTAATGACATTTTGATTATTATTAAAAAGATATTTAAAATGAATAATTCTCAAAAAAAAAGTTTGAAATTACTAAATCATTTGATAACAATACTTTAACAGGTTTTGATAACATTAAACATATAAATAACAACATATTTTTGTAAAAAATTCTTATTTAGAATTTAGTCACTTTAAATTTTTTTATAGAATTCTTCCCATTTAAAATAGTATTAAATATTAATAAATTCCAATAAAACAACTTTGAGCAATTATTTTACCAGAGAAAGGTTAGGGTTAGAAAATATACCTCTTGTTTTGCTCCTTTTTTTAAAAACGGAGTTCAAATTTTTATGGGTCAAACAACAATCTTCTATTCTTTATCTTGTTTAGGTCAATTGTTGTGTTGAGTTACTCAAAGTTGTCTTAACATTTCTACATTCTTAAATCACATGAATATTGTCACATGTAAGAAAAATTTACCCAGTAATCTTTTTCTCCACTGTAATCAGAGTAACACTTTAGAAAAGGCATATTCATGCATTGTTTCAATCGTCCTCGATTGTATAATAATTTATGAATAATACTATAATTTTTATGTGGAAAAAAAATAAGTTTTTATGAGATAAAATTACCAACAACAAAAAAGGGTTCACTTTATAGCTTTAAAAAGTCTTATTAATTTTCATTCAGTTAACATTGTAACGCGGTTATTAGAGATGATATGTCAATGGTGATGTCCTCGATTACCTTGTCCAATCATCTTATTGTTCAAGAAAACTGGCTTTTTAAAAATTAAGAAAAATATTTGGCCAAAAAAAAGAATTAAGAAAAATATATTAAATAGAGATGGATTTCGTTGGCCAAAAATAGATTAATTGTCATTTTAATTTACATTTATCCCATTTCAAAATATTTTTTTAGCTGTAGCTTTGTTTCAAGATAAATACCATTCAATAATTTTATTGAAACACTAATGATTTTTATAACATTTTTACTATTTACAATGATAGAAAGATTCTTGAACATAATTCATTAATATACGAATATTTTTCTTTTAATTCTTAATATATTTTGGCCATAAACCAAATATTTTAAGTGGGGTCACTTTGAGTGGGTTATAAACAATTAAGCATAAAACTTTTCTTATATACTTATTACACCATATTCCATAAAAAAGCTGCTTCTAAGTGAGAATTTCAAACCTATGAATCAATATTCGGTAAAAAAAAAATACAAAATTATTTTTAACGGTGAATTTGCAGGAATTCTTCTTGTCATGCGAAGAATGTTGTCCAAGTTTTAGAAGCCAAACTAACAAAAAAGAAAGAAGATTTCTTTATCCTTTCCTTGAAAGAAAATGCAGTAAATTATTCAGCAAATACAGCAAATGCGCGTGTCGGAGGAAGAGTTGATATGCGCCCATATATAATTGCGCCTTATTTCGATCGCTCTAGCTGTCTTTCTCTGTTCTGCCATTTTGAGCTGAGCAGCGAACTACCCGAAGTTCAAATTTCTGAAAAGTTTGAATTTTGTGGTTTAGAGTTCTTCTATGGTTATGGTCGACGCTGGATCGACGATCGTCATGGCCACTTCGCCGTTGAAAAAGATCGAACACGCCCACCAGCTGTACCGCGATGGACGGTATGGTGACGCGCTAGGTTTCTACACGGAGGCTATTGGGATGGCTAAGACTAAGGCTCAAAAGATCGCTTTGCATAGCAATAGAGCTGCCTGTTATCTGAAGCTTCACGATTTCAAGAAGGTTCGATTTTTTTTCCCCTTTTATGGATAAATCTACTGATAACGCTGGTGACGTTATTACTCGTTGATGAATGCTTCAAGTCAGGGTGCTAATTTTTTCTGGCTGTATTTTCAATTGAGTTGGATATGTAGATGAAGTTAGAGTTTTTAGATAAATGACGATTAAAATTGAATCGTCTCTATTATATTTCTTTCTAGTTCTGATAATGGCAAGAATGAAAACCATGTTTGGGGAAACATTTTTAGTGCTGTGAAGTTTATTTTCTTTGTCATATTTTTTACTATGTGGAAAATGGGCAGCAACGGGCTTTAGTTTGTACAGCTTGTTCTGATGCTTGAGGGTGAGGATAACTTGTTCAATTGGGAGAAAACCATCTTCAAAATTTAGAAAATTATCAGTGGTAGTTTCTGGTTGGATATCTGCTTGCGCTCAGTCTCTTGTATCTTGCCATTCCAGATTCGAGAATAGCTACTCCCCTCCCCCCTCTTCCTTGGAAAGCTACAAGGTCCAAGTTTTAAGGAGGTATTGAAGCTGCTAGAGGAAGATGGAAAACATAATAGCGCGCACAGAGGAAATCTTATTTGGATTGACCGATAATCATGCTTGTACTTTGTTGAAGGCGTAAAATCAGTATTAAATCCATGTACCAAACAAGGCCTGTAGATACAAATTTCCTCCACCAATTGAACTATGAATGAGAAAAGAAATGAATGTATTGGCTTCTTCTCTAGATTATCTGTCTAAAGATGTATAATTTGCAACAGATGTTTTCAAAGCCTAGCTGCTTTATTAATGCCAAATCATTAGTCTTATCATTCCTAGAGTTGGATATCAAACTTTAGTTTCCTCGTGTTATAGATATTTTAAAACATTGGTTTAGAATTAAACTTTTGCTATCACTTCCATGTTTGTCACTGTCCTTATTTGTCTAACTGCAAGCTTTTGCTGTATGATCTACACTCTTCTTTTTTCATGGGGTGTAATTAACTGTTGGTGCTGCCATCTCAGGCTGCAGAAGAATGTACCTCAGTGCTTGAGCTAGATCACAAGCACAGTGGAGCTTTGATGCTGCGGGCTCAAACATTAGTCACCCTTAAGGAGTACCATTCAGCACTTTTTGATGTCAATCGACTGTTAGAGTTGGATCCATCCTCAGAGGTGTATCAAAATCTTCAAGCTCGCTTAAGGACGCAATTGGTAGGGCCTTAGTTTTCCCTCGACCTTTTTATCATTGCAGTTAAATGCATTGCTCGGTAACTTGCTATTCAAGAGTCTTGACTTTTGATATCGAAGTTCTGTATTAGTAAACCTGCTATGAATTCCCTATGAAATAAATTATAATATAGTTTTATCAAAAATTAGAGGTCTTGTGAGAACTCAAGCTTGTTTTACTCCTTTGTATACTTTCGGATTACACTGAACTTTTAGGTTGATAGGTAACAAAGTCCAAAACACAGCTAACTTGTGGAGATTTTCCTATTACCAAGTAAATTTGGCCTGGAATGTAGTTTGTAATTGGAATACTTTCTCAGCTACGAGTAAGAAATTGTTTACTTTTTCTTCTGCTCAAGGAAAGTCACTTGCTCCAATACCAGAGTCAGAAGAGGAGTTTGAAGAACAGGGAGATGAAGACGAGGTGACAGTAAAAGGAGACAATAAATGGGAAAAATCCCAAGAGAATGATGTTGGGAGAGATCATAAAGATGAGCTTGCCAAGCCTACTTTTAATACCGAAACAGACGACAAGTTATCATCTGAACAAGGAATAGACGAAAACTCTGAGCCAAAAACTTCGACACCAGAGACGATTGCCAAAGCACCACAGGAGGAACCAGCTGAGCAACATTCCAAAGCATGGCAATCGATTCCAAAACCGAAAGGGCATTCAGCTTTAAACTATGCACGATGGGACAGTGTTGAAGACGATTCCAGTGAAGAAGATGACGACGACGATGATGAAGATGAAGAAGAATCTCAACCCCAGTACCGATTTCGTGTAAGAACCATAGGAGTACGATCGGTAAAGTGAGAATAGCCTAAGACTGTTCCGGTCCAATTGTGTACAGAATGAAGTCTCGTGGACCGAATGGGTTGTTGATGTTGCTCATGGGTTCTGTCATGGAGAACTTTGAATCCTGGGAAGTACTGGCTTTTCATGGTCAGATGAGTTACCTGACTCTGAAATTCTCATACCCTTCATGATCTGATGTGATACAAATTAAGTCAGTTCATCATATATAGGATCAAGTATAAAGAGTGTTTCAGCAGTTGAGACTTGAGACCTATATTGTATGGCCATGGAGGTGATAAATTTTCCTGTTGCTGTGGTTCAACCGTTGTAATTAGTTTTTTTTTTTTTTTTTTTGCCCTTCAATGTTCTAGTTGTAATCATCGTGGTGTTTCTGAGCTGGAGAGCTGTTGATTTTGGTTTGCGAAGGTGGCAGTTGCGAGTTTGTAATAAAATCCCAGAAACTATCATTGGTAGTTTGTGTATTAGCAAATAAATGAGCCATTACCTGATTGCATGCCTGGGAAACTCGAAAGCTGATAATCAAGGACAGAAAAGACGATCATCGATCAACCAGATGATTGGAACATATGTCAATATTTACAACAGCAGCTTCGCTGCTTCAGGTTTAAACAAAATAAACTAGTTACGACATAGTTTCATCTAAACCACAGAAAGAGAAAGAGGGTGAAATTTAAAATGAAATTTAGGGTTAATATAATTTTTGTTCTCTTAAATTAATTTTTTTTTTTTGGTTCAATAAAGTTTTTTTTTATTTAAAATATTGGTTTCTATAATTTAATAAAGATTTGGATTATTTTATTTTTTGAGAAACCAAAACCTAGATGTAAAACTCGAGGATCTAAAGTCAAAATAAGAATGAATTTAAGAGACAAAAAATTATATTAATCCTAGATTGTAAACAAAAAATACATGTTTCTTGGAGGATGTTAGTTAACACAATACTCCCTCCAACTCAGAATATAAGATAAACTGTGTTGAAGGGGCTTGGTTTTTTTTATGGACAAAACTTAGGTCCAGTACCTTAGGTCCATTAGGTCCAGTTAGCCAACCAAATATTGCCACCTCAATTATTTTTCCACATCAAACCGCCGTTAGCGCACCAAAGTTTCTTTCTCTCCTTTGTGTAATTGTTTTAACCTAAAGACTTCACAGAAAAGTCCCCTTTCCTCCTCCTCTGCTTTCATCGGCAATGGCGCTACCCACTGCCGAAGAGAAATTCTGAGTTCATCCATGGCATGGTAACTCTCCCTTACTATTGGAACACTGCCACCCCTCTTCTTCTCTGCATTATTCACTAACTTGCTCCCATCCAGACTAGACACTCTCAGAACTCTTGGCTAGCGTCGCGGTACTCGTAGGCTTTCGATTATCCTTCTGTAATGTTGGGGCTGAGAAATCTAACACAGACCGACCAAAAACAGAGTATCCTCTGCATACCCCATTTGTTTGGCTTGCACCATTCCTTTCTCTCTCCGAACTCAAACGAAACTGGACTAGTTTCACCAAAAAAGGAGTCACTAATTGTGGGTTGGGTTCTAGACAATCAAGCTCTTGTTGTTGCTGAGTAATGAACTTGAGTCAAAGGTTTGATTCTCTAGATCAAGCCTCATGGAAAGTGGGTGGTCGGAGTTGTAGAGGGGTCAAGGGCGTGGAGAAAAGATCGAAGGGTGCGTTGGAGAGGGAGGCGTTGCTGCTCTTTAGTTGCAATGTTTTTTTTTTTTCCGGGTTACAGCTCTTTAGTTACAATGTTGATAGAAGGGAGAAGTTTTGGTAGGATAACGGTGGTTTAACAATGTTAAGTGCTGATGCGTCAAACTAATTGAGGTGGCAGTATTTGGTTGGCTAACTGGACCTAATGGACCTAAGCTACTGGACCTAAGTTTTGTCCTTTTTTTATATATAAGATAATATTTTAGTTTTGTTTGAGCATTTAATGAATTTTTTTAATGGGGTCCTCAATATTTTTTTCAATCTTTAATTTATTTATTGCATCTTTTACTTATTCTCTTCATTAATAAGGGTATGTTTGAGGAAAAAATTACATATTTTATGCATTTATTGTTTTAAATTGATTCTAACTAATTTCTTAACATGTATAAATAGATAAAGTTTATCTTATATTTTAAATAAGATAGAGTAATACAAAAGGGAAAGTAATGAATACAATAAGAAATGATACATCCAACAACACTATCTCTTTTCTACAGCATAACCAACTGAAGGAATGGTTTGCAAAATACTACCGTTGGATTTTATTTTATTTTATTTTGGGGGGCTTCTGGGGCATTAGAAAGTGGCCAGTAGCTTGAAATATGTCTTTTTTTGGCGTCATACGTTACGGATCAGAGAAAAAGAGTGAAACTCATTAAACTCCTCAAGGAGCGTCCATATAGTAATTTTTAACTAAATTATTAGTATGATGTATTAGAGTAAAAACTCTATAAATACTAAGTAATAATGCAAAAGTAGTGAGGGAAAAGTATAATAACTAAAAAGAGGCTTCTTGCACAAAAAAGAATCATCCTTCGGGAAAAAAAAAAATCATCTCAGTGCTGTTGACTGTTGAGGAGTGAGAACCACTTAAAACTAGAACTTTCCTTTTTCATGTTTAAGCAGCTTTAGAACAATATTTTTTGAAAGTGTTCGAAAATTAATCTCTCTTGATTATTAATGATAATCACCGTCACTAGCCGTTAGAACTCACTGCCGTCCAAGGCCAAGGACGTAATCGAGGGGGCAATCCTGGAAATTCATTCCCAATATGACCGTTACGAGATTCGAAAAAAGGGACCGTTTAAAGGAGCCACAGCCCTTGTTCCTTCTTCTGTTATTCTTCGATTCACTAACTCATTTCCTCTGCGTCTCTCACTTTTCTCTCTGAATGGCTGAATCCGATCCCCAGAGCACAAGATCTTCAATCATGGAATGGAAGCACCTACACCCACTTCACCAAATCGCAGAAACCCCAACGCACAGGCTTCTACTGAAACAATGGCTCAAAGAGGAAGACCTCATCCTCAATCGAATCGCACTCAAAGAGACCCAAATCGACTCTGTTCGCAAAGAAATGACGATGCTCTACATCTTCTTCTTCCTGTTCCACTCCACATCTCTCATGCTCCTCTTCAACACAGCGTCTTCATCCAAACCCCACATGGAAAAGGCCTGTCACAGATCGTGGATCCCATCTGTGTGCTCTCTGTTATTCTCTCTGGGGCTAATCTGGGCGGTGAGGTACAAGAGCGACGTGGAGTCGCACATGGAGAAGCTTCTGGAGAGAGAGAAGGAGGACAGGAGCTTGTTGGGAAAGTGTGTGGAGGAGCTGAAGAAGAAGGGTATGGAGTTTGATTTGCTGAAAGAGGTTGATGCTTTGAGGAGGGCCAAGAGCTTGAGGGTGGAAGCTAAGGAGGTCCGGAAATGGTCTTCCAGGGACTTCGTTTCTCTGTTTTTCTTCACTCTGTCTTGCTTGTGTCTTGTAGTCGTAAGGGTTATTTTGTGTAGTTAGTATGCTTTGATTGATCGATTCATATCTTTTGAAACTTAGATGGGGAAGGGAGGACGGTGCAGAATGTTCTATTCTGCGTTTTTTTTTTTTTTTTGGGTTGCAATGTGAAAGATAGTTGAAGTCAGATTATGAAATAAGCTGGATCTAATATTCAAAGTCCGGTGTATATCATGTTTGTGTTGTTTACTACCTTCTTCCTGTTTGGAAGCTGGATTTGTTTGATTGAGATTTAGATTCGTAGTCCAAAGCAGCAGATCATGTTTCTGGCGAGCGATTTATACAGAGCTTTTCAAGTAGATCAGATTTGCAGAGCTAATTAATTTCAAACGAAAATACCATATCTCTGGCACGTAAAGAGCTAGACTAATTTGCTGATAGGGAGGAATTAAGTTACTTATTCATAATAAATTAATGTATTCTCTAAAATATCTATATTAATTATTTCAATTAAAATTATTTCTTATTGAAAACTTCTTGATATTAAAATAAGGGATAATTAATATATAAGTCCTTATAGTTTCAACTGGTTTTTAATTAGGTTCTTATAATTTTTTTTCTTTTTATCAGGTCCTTATTGTTTTACTTTGTTTTTAATTAGATCCTTGTAGTTTTTATTCTTTACTTTACAAATAATAAAATTTTAAAAATAATAAATTATTGTAACAATCTTATGTTAATGTTCTTTTAAATTTTTAGTTAAACAAATATATTATTTATTTTCAATTCGAATTTTTATAATTATAAAATTCAAATTATAATAATAAATTTTTCTAAAATTAAAATATGATTATAAATAATTTATATTTAAGTATAATTATTATTCTGATTATTTATTAATTACTAAATGATTATATTAATTATTTTGTCCAATTATATAATTATTAATTTAAAAATGAAATTAATTTTAAAGAATAAAGTTAATAAATAATTTTTTAAAAACTACAAAGCACCTAATTAAAAAATAAGTGAAACTATAAGGACCTGATAAAAAGAAAAAAGAATAGAAGGACCTGATTAAAAACACATGAAAGTAAAAGGATATGATAAAAAGAAAAAATTTTATAAGGACCTAATTAAAAATCAGATAAAACTATAAGGACCTGGAGATTAATTATCCCTTAAAATAATCATAGAAATTACTTAAGGGTAAAATAGATAAATATTGGAGACAAAATTAGTTGAAATCTTATGTTTAGAACTAAATTAAATTTTTACCTAATTCTTATATTAAAAATTAAAGGTGAAATAAGCTCTTATATTAATTATGTGAATTGAAATTATTTCTTAATGTAAATTCTTAACATGTGAAATAATCATAGGGATTACTTGCGTAAAACAGATAAATGTTATATACAAAATGGGTTAAAATAGTATATTTAGAACCAAATTAAATTATCAACTAATAGGCAATGATAAGCATATTAGAATGTGAATTATGCTAGAGAAAAAAAATGATAAGGTGTATGGCAGGCAAAATTTACATGCCTATCAATGTGTGAATGAATGGGCGTTGGTCGGGCAATGAAATTAGACGAACGAACCATTTCATCAAAGGTGTCGTGGTGTAGTTGGTTATCACGTCAGTCTAACACACTGAAGGTCTCCGGTTCGAGTCCGGGCGACGCCATCTTTTGCCACTTTTATTTATTTTTCGATTTTACTTCTTGTTTTGCCGATGCGATCAAAGGAATGATCTGTTGCCCGACAACCACATGAATTCAGATCCTAGGAGCCTCCAATTGTTTGTGCTTGTACGCGCGTGTTTTTTTTCGCGGGGTGGGGATATTCTGAAGCTCAGTGACAAAGTCCAGAAACATTCGACAAAATTACAAGCTCATTTCTGAGCATACGTGGAGGTGACGAAGAAATTAATAATTCTGTTGATGTTCGGAACTGTACTGAGGAAAATAATAAAAAGGCCTTCAGACAAAGGAGCGTCTGCCAATTAAACTAGTTTGTCCAATTCACTGCTTCCAAACTTTTTAAGGCACAATGGAATTAGAAAAATAAAATGTCCTCCATCACTACGTGAAAATAAGAGTGACAGGAAGGGCTTTATATTCTTTTCATTTCAGATACATACTTAATATAAATACAAGAAACAGCAGAAAATCCTTGTAAAAAGCCTTAATTCTGCGTGGTTACAAGTAAAGCCCTGCCATGGCTGCTGATCATGTATCCATTGCGCCGTGGCAAAACCCTACTTGGCTTCCAAGAGCCCCAAAAGTAACTTACAGTAAGAAGACTTGTGAAATATGACCAAAAAGAAAAATAAGAGTACTCTCTTGCTTCTTGTTGCTTCAACACTACGAGGAATGATGTTCATGGCTCATGCCGATCCACTAGACTGAGCAGTGGGCGAAATAAAAATTTCAATGTTCTTTGTCTCACACTGGTTCTTAAGAATTTGAATTAGGATGCAGGAATGGCTTGATCGCAGGAAGTCCAAACTCAACCCGGGCATGATTAGCACAAAATAACAGATAAGTTTGAGGGCACAATAGTAAAAAATGTATATCATCTCATATTCTGCTTTCAGACCTTCATCACCCACCAAGACAGTGGAACGCAATGAATAGACAGAACTTCACATGTCAATCATTGGCATGATATGCTGGAGACAACAACATAAAATGGACAGACTAATACAAATTTGTTGTCCGCCAAGTGACAGTTATAATATTGTAGATGTTTCATTAATTTGATCAAAATAACTAAAGAGAGACAGTTCGTCTATATAGTTCTTCGTCATCACTCTCTTCTTCCTCATCTGACACTATCTCATTACCTGGTAGCTCTAACTTCCCACCCATACAAAACGATGGACCTGTAGTTTCAGTTTCAATGTAATTACCTTGCAATCTCTCTTCAAATCTCTGGTCACTACAATTTAGCATCCAATTTAATGAAAATCTTATCCCCCTGCTTTTCATCTTCTGGTATCTGGGTTTGATCCGGGATTCCAAGCTATATGTAAAGTATTCTGGAAATTCCACAAGCTCCTTTATGGGTCGCCCCATCTCACTCTTGAAGAAGTAAAAACTGTTCTTCATAAGCTCAACTCTTGCTGCTATTAATTGAGGACATTTGATCAACATATTGGCCACATCATGCAATGGTATTGCCCTTGCGAGGAGGAAGTTAACTGGTTTCATTATCACATGTTGATTAAGGCTAACCACCTGAGGCATCTTCTCTATCACTCGTGCAAATCCTTCAGGGTCAATCTTAAGCTTCAAACTGAAGAAGTACTGCTGTGAAGACAATTTGGCCTTGAGAGGCAACCCAAGAATCGATGGATATTGAGCAATAACTAAAGGCAGGGATTCCTTCCTAATTCCAAAACTAATCAAACAATCCACATTAGGTTTAACAGTCTCCTGAAGATCGTAACCAAGTATATAGGGCCTCTTCTCCAACATTCTAGCTATAATTTTCTTGGGTAGCCCTAACGAGACCAAGTAATCAATCAGAGGTTTAATCACAGTCCCAACTCTCATCCCCAAAAAATAAGGGTACTGTGTCACCATGGGACCGATATCTCTGGGATTGACGCCAATACTAACAAGATAAGCCACTGAAGTACTCATTGTACCCTCAAGTTTGAACCCCAAAAGCTCAGGATACTTTTGCAACACAAATCCAATATCCTGTTTCTCCACATCAAGTCCTCTTAGGAGCTTAATAACCGGAGCTAGCTCAACAATCACACTTGCATGTAAAACTTGTGGGTAGTTTTTTAAGAATTCGCCAAGCTTTGGCCTTGGAATCCCAATTTTTTCTAGGTACCCCAACACAGGTATGATATTCTTTCTCACACTGCATCCAAGCATCAAAGGATACTCGTTAATGTCATCAATTGTTAAACCCAACTTTTGAAGGAACTCTACGCGCTCCCTCATGACCTCAACGGTGGAAGGAAGCTCCAAGTCATGCAATTCATCTGGAATGATTCCTAAACCCTTTAGATAATCAAATATGATTACCCTCGAAACAAGCTTCTCTTTCCGTCCCTGAATCACACCCCAGGTAACAGATGGCATCTCATACTCGGGAAATTTGGAGGCCTGCGTTGAATACGGTGCATAGTATAGCAAAACCCTAAAAGGGTTCAGGGTTTTAAGGAAAGCAGAAGAAGGGTGCGTAGGATATTGCTTTGACTGAGGAATCAAACCGAATTCATGAGAAGTTAATTGGGAAAGTTTAGAGCTTGAAAACAAATTGATGATCTTTTTTCTTCTGAGCATCGACATCGTGCATCAGAAGGATATTGGAACCGTGGATAAGTTTGATATATGCAAACAATGAATACAAGAACTGCAAATGCGCAGGCTAGCAACCAAGAAGCTCTACCTGACATACAATATGAAGAGATGCCGTATTGCATAGCAGAGAACGCTAGGAAACACGGGATTCGGCATATCAGAGGCAGGAAGGAGGAAGATGAGGGTGCTCACGGATTGCGCACCGAGAACAGCACTATGGAAATGAAAAATGATGGGCCTTTAGGGTGAGTCCTGTAAATTTGTAATGGGTTAAAGATTTTCTGACCCAAACAAGAAGTATGGGGTTTTAGTTTATTGTTTTTTGGTGAAGGGTTTTAGTTTTAGATTGTAGACCTGAAAGGCTGTCGCTGAACAAAAGGCTTTTTTTTTTTTTTGAGACGGGGAAAAAATGTTTCTCACATTTCAAGGTACTTTAAATAAGACTGTCTCTAATAAAAAAAAATATTTATACTAGCAAAAAAATTTTATTTTTATTGAAAAAATTTATACAAAAAAATTTAGGTGAATTAGGTCTCGAGAACTCATCAGGGTCAGAACATGCCTCCAGGATCATAGAACGCTTACGGAAGTACTTACAAATCGCTCATTAAGGATGCCCTTACATCAGTGGCATTATTTTAGTTTAAATCCCTCAAGTTTTAAGCTATATGTTTTGGTCCCTCAAGTTTCTTTTCATTTAAAACATTATTCTTTATAATTCAATAAAAACTTGAACTATTTTGTCTATTAAGAGACCAAAACCTATAGTTTGAAATATAATGGACTAAAATCAAAATGTGAGTAAACTTGATGGATCAAAATTTACATTAACTCAATTTTTTTTAATATAAATACTAACCCAATTTTTAATAATGTTATGAATGGCTAAATAAACTTGGGACCCTGGCCCAAAAAACACTAGAGGCCAATAATTTTGAGCTAATCCAACTCCTTATGTCTAAAGGAATGAGTCCAATACATTTAATCACATTCATGCTATTGTACAGACAAAATGAATTGAAAATATCAGGGGTTAGAAGGGAGTAAAGGAAGAATCAAAATGCCTTGTTGCTATTGTACAGACAAAGTGAATTGAAAATATCAGGCGTTAGGAGGGAGTGAAGGACGAATCAAAATGCCCTGTTGCTATTGTACGGACAAAATGAATTGAAATTTGAAAATATCAGGGGTTAGGAGGGAGTGAAGGAAGAATCAAAATGCCTTGTTAAAAGAGACAGTGATTACTTAAGCAATAAATAAAACAAGGGAATATATAATATATACACACATATACATAAAAGCGAAGGCAGTTCATTAATGGCGAAGAAGTGATGGTTCACGTTCATGTCAGACACAGACTCAGAAAACAGAGACCCGTCTTGAATTGCCTCTCGTGAACTTTCTCCTTCTTCATTGCCCATCGCCAACTTACACTCATCACTTTTCACTACTCTTTATGACTTCCTAATCATGCTTCCTGCTCTTCATTTCATTTTCGTGATTCTCTTCCCCAAGTTTTAAACACCAAATTGAATGCTCTTTTGTGTAAAGTTTGATGCAAAATCGATATAGAAATGGCAACAAGTACCTGCGAACATTCTTATATCAATGCTTGCAATAATCATATGATGAAGAGAAACAGAGAGAGATACTGCAAACCCATGTGGTTCATAATGAATCAATAAGATGGATAGGGCAAGATGTTCAAAAATATGTAAAAGCATTGGACACAGAGATAATGACAAAACATCATTGACTTCATAAATCATAATTATCATATAAATTGAATATTTTGATTCTTATCATTATGTCAATGGTCATTATGTTTGACAAGAATGCAATCTTCTTGACAGTAAAGTCCAAGAGTCATGTTTTGCAGTCTGATTTCTGCTTAATTTCTATTGGAATTTGTCAAGGCAAGATGGTAAATAGGCTAATAATTCTTTACCAAGACATGCTTTCAAGGAAGTATCTTGTTGAAACATCAAAACCATGATTATATGGCTTTGATTTTAATTGACAAATCCATGCTCAATACAAGGAAAAAGGTTGTAATTATTAGTCAGACAAACCTCTTTTTATTTATTTATCTCATTCTAAGTATCATATTTTAATTTGACCAACGCTTGTTGAGGACATCTAAAGTAGGATGCTGATGACACCAAGTCACCAATATAAATAAATTGAGGCAGTAAAAGATGAGAAAATTTCTAACCATGATTTCTGATTCTATATTCAATAAGTAGTATGTTTTGTGTAAAGAAAATAACACACAGATGGATGGATGCTATCTATAGTGAGTCTCACCCCACATCATATACTAGTCTCTCTTTACAAAGCATCGTACTTGTCAAATAGAGAATTCTCAGCTTGTTGGTCTACATTGAAAATAAAAAAGTAATAAATGGCACAATTGGATGTGTTCATTATAAAGTTTAATTAGTTTATATAACAAGATTTGAGCCTATGCATTTTTTTTTTTTTTGGTAGAAACCAGGTGGTATCCCCTAGCCGATAGCCAGAGACTAATCCTCCCGAGGCGTAGAGATCACCAAAGTGGGTTTTACTTCTCCCAACAAAGCCTTTTCCATGCACACGGCCTGGTTCGAACCCAGGACATCATGTTTAAGGGATCCAGCTATCTACCAACTGTGCCGGGCTTTGTTGGTTGAGCCTATGCATTTTTATTCAAGCTATGTTTGCAGATTCACTGGAATGATTTCCCCCTGACTTCTGAGATTGCATTTCATTAAATGCTCTGTGTGTGTGTGTGTGTGTGTGTGTGTGATTCAAACTTACTCTTTCACCAGAATGATGAGACCGTCCCAGTGAGACAGCCAACTCCCCAATCAGTTTGGCCCAAAACCCTGTCTTATATATCAGTACTACATGTATCAAATAAAAGCTAGAGGTTTCATCCACATTCAAAATTCATCAATGCCCTTTCCTTCATTTATAGTTTCAGATAATAAGTGTAGTTCATTTTTGGGTAACTCGCCAAAACTTGTGAAACTTTGAAAACCCCCATAAAACAAAAACAGCAGCAGAAACAACAACTGTGGATCATGTGAAACGCATCAGATGTACCTCACTCCACATTTAAGACTCATCTTATATATGATCCTTAAACTCAGCTACAACTACTTCCATCTTCATATATCTCCTTCTTGTTCACTAGCTTGCTTCGCATCCTCATTTATTCTTTGATGAAAACTGATCTGCGAATTGCTTGAGTTTACTCTGCAACTATGAACTCTTTCTCTCTTCCAATCCACAAGTCTTTCCTTCTCATGATGTTTTTCATGCTTCTCTCTATTGCTTGGAGTCTTAGGGTGATTCCTAGTCAAGGTAATTAATTGTCTCGTTGTCCAGTCTTATTGTTTCTTAAATCATCAGTGTTAGTTCGTGAATATTTATGTAAGCTTTGTTCTTTCATCTACAAGATAAGGTGATCAACTTGCAAGGACAGAAACCCGCAAGTGCAGATAACAAGGTTTGTTTGTTTCCAACAGTTTCATGGTTTTGCTTCATGAACTCATTTAGCTGCTACACAAACAACTAAAATACTGATATATATATATATATATATCAGGTTAAGAATGAATGATGAAGTGGATGGTTGTGATTTGCAGGAAGAAGGTGGGAAGAAAGAGTTGGGAATGGAGCTTTACCAGACAGGATCAAGCTTGCCAGATTGTTCCCATGCATGTGGGCCATGCTTTCCTTGTAAGAGGGCGATGGTGAGTTTCAAGTGCTCCATGGCAGAGTCTTGCCCTGTAGTTTACAGGTGTGTCTGTAAAGGCAAATACTACCATGTACCCTCCAATTGATCTTCTCAACTATGATTTTTTCCCCCTTAGTTTAGGATTATAATATTGATGTGACTCTTAGGATGTCAGCTTTTTGGTACCATGATGATTTCTGTTTATGAAGTAGAAGAAGAAGAGTGACTAGTTAGGCCTATATCTTTGATAGAGTGGGATTTTCCCCCTTTCCTACTATAACTGGATTTTGACAGTCCCATTTTGGACTATGAATGTGTGCATTGTTAGTAGATAACAACATTGGCACATGCTTTTGCATTTTGGTCTATGCCACAGCTGCTGTTGTAAACCAAAAACATAAACATTAATGTAAAGTAAGAGTCACTGTGAAATCTCAAGGGGGGACAAAAAAAGATAAACACCAAAAAGTTCTACAACAAATGAGTAGTATGCAATGACATGTTCTGATCTCCTCACTTGTTATTCAGATTCTTTGTAATCATATTTCTTTTTTGAGACATCACAATGATTTTCTCTTAATTTAATTTAATGACATTCAATAAGAAGCAGCAGGGGTGGATTTGTCACTTTAGGGAGCAATTTGAATTGCTTCTTGGGTATAATGGGCAGCAAGAAAAGAATAATTAAAGAGCTCCAAACTCAACAAACATAATTTATTAATTAATTAATTAATTAATTTGATGGAGATAACATCAGGACAACCACAGTATACGGGCCTGATTGTACAAGGACGGCCCAACTGAAGCAAATAATGAGGCATTGGCCCACTCTCTCAGTGCTGCCCATTATATAATCCAATTTTTTAACCGTTCTTAGGTTTTTAAACAAAAGAACCTGAATCCCAACCATATTTTAGAATTTGGCCAAAAAATATGTTTTAGAAGTAATTAATAAAAGTGAGAAAGGGTAGGTGGTTGGGGGGGGGGAACAGTTGGGACTTGGGAGGAATTCCAAGTCAGAAAGAACGGAAGGTGAATCAGAGAGAGATAGATGAAGGCTCATAAAGCGGTTGGATGGGGCTCCCCACTTAGTACCCTCCGTACCGGATTACGCCATTATGTCCTCTGTGCGACCCACAAACACTCCACTTGAAACATGAAAGCGACAAAGAGTTTAAACTTTTTTAATTAATTTTATTTACTCCCCTTTACCTCTTATATATATTTATTAAAAGGTTTTATGTCAATTTCTCATGTTATTTCAAAAATTGAATTCATTAAAATTTTTCTTATCCTCATTTTCGTTTCTTTCCAACCAAGCAGAGAATAAAAAATTAACAGAAATTAAATATCAAATAAAGGGAAAATGACTAAAAACACCACTTGAATTTTAAAATTAATACTGACCACCACTTGAATTTTAAAATTAATACTGACTATTCTTATAAAGATATTCAGGTGTTAGTATCACTTTGTTATCATCTTGAACTTCAAGTGATATTTTTGGGTAAGTTTTTCTTGAATAAATCTTAATAAGTATGACAATCAAGTTATAAAAAATTATATTTTTTTTGATTTTAGAATAATACCATATAATTATATATATAAAGAAAGGGGAGGCTAAATCAATTGATCAAGACTTGTTCAACCAGATCACATTGAAGCTAAAACAAATCACATGAGTAGAAGTCGTTGAACCTCCGCAATGAAACCATGGAAGACTATATAAATAATTAAAATTTAAAAAACTGCACATCATTCAAGAACAAGAATATAACCTTTAAATATTTTCCTTATATAAATATATCATTTTTTCCCTGTTTCCAAACCAAGAAAACAACGGGAATAATGCTGGTTTTAAGTATATATCTACATATATGTATCAAAGGCCAAAAAAAAAAAAAGACATGGAGCTTTATTGCCAACCACCCCGGAGGGGGGGGGGGGGGAGGCAAGAAAGGGCGAATTAATTTTGTGCGAGTGACAGGCAGTGGGTAATTAAAAATCCTTACAGGACTTGTGGAAGATTCTACTTTGCTTGGAGAATCCAGCTTTGCTAATTTATTCCCATGAACGTGCATGAAGTTGCCTCCCCATTCTTCCTAGTTAACTAAGCAGCCCTAACCTTTTCAACTTATTCCACGTCTCTCAATCAACTATCATACTCAAAGCACAATTCCATTTTTTTTTTGAAAAAAAAAACTAAAGGTACTTGAAGTGATAAGGAGGATTGAACTCGTGACACGGCAAGTATTCATATCACTAGATTATAAAACTATTAAATATTTAAAATGATTTTTTTAAAAATTTTGGTCGGTAAAAATATTTATCAATTTTTTTTGCTAAAACATATATATCCTCTTATTGGAGGTAATCCTATTCGAAGCACTATCAGACACTAAATGTGAATACCTTTTCTAATAAAGATTCAAATCTTGATTCGTTATGCTGTGAGGGATTAGTTTTTTTTACTATACCTAATCCCATTGGCCAATATTTATCCGGTATTGAGCAGGGAAAAGTGATTTGTTGCTTTGAGGTCAAAAAAAAAAAGGCGGTGTCGTGTGGTGGGCCTTTGAGGGGAAAGTGGAGGAATACTCAAAGCACAATTCCTTTTTTTTTTTTTGAAAAAAAATTAAAGTACCAAACACTAACAATGTGAAGTGATAAGAAAGATTGAACGCAGGAAGTATTCATATCACTAGATTGAAAAGCTATTAAATATTTAAAAAAAAAAAATTTTTAAATTTTGGTGGGTTAAAATATTCATCGAGTTTGAGTAGGAAAAAATGATTTTGTTGCTTTGAGGTTAAAAAAAGGCGATGTTGTGGGGTGGGCCTTTTGAGAGGAAAGTGGAGGAATAGTGACTAGATAAGAGTGTTTGGGTTGAATTCAAATTGCACAAAAAGCAGGATCATGGGCCGGCCACGTGGAGCCCGGTGGAAAGTGGTTCCTTTACATCAGGCCAGCTTGCTTTTTGCGTCGACATTGACCAAAGATATATAATAAAGCAACCAATACTGGCCTCATAAGTCATAACAGAACATGTTAAAATAACAATTTGAGGACGAAACTTGAAAATGTTTTAATTTGGCGATGAAAATGGAAAAAACATGGCGGATCATGTATGGAAGGCGGCTGAAGTAAATCCACATAGATAACTACGTACAATACTAAATATGAAGAAGATAGGAACGAGTTTGCTTTTTGTAAGTAAGGCCCACCCTTTCTTTTTTTTTTTGTCTTTAAATGTTTTTTTTTCACTTATCAATTTAATTTAATTCATAAATTTTGATTTAGATTCAAAATAATTTAAAGCTGGGTGTGTTTATTTTAAATTTCTGGTCACACGCCATGAAACCCGCGATTCCACCACTCCCCGATCACTTCCAATCATTACATTACACTCTGACATGTGCATTAAATGCCCCCACCTCTGTTCCAGTTCTTATTTCTTCATTCATAACTATAAACGAAATCATATTTACATTAAAAAAAAACAACTTATATGTATAATTAAATATAGAGTTTCACATTATCAAGCAACTAGTATTGAGTGTAATTAAAAAAAAAACTGATGGAATCGAGATTTGAATTTCTGTTCACATAAATATTCATATTTACCGAATTTAAAAATTAAGAGAAAATATGGGTATATACCCATTATGATCCTCAATACACAAAACTAATTTAGGTGTTGAATTTGATCATGAATACAAGACTTTAATATATTTTATCTCATATTTATAATTTAATTTTTTTCCCTAAGCTGATTTACTTAGTAATATTCAAATTTATTAAACAACTCTTATGTTACGTTAAATGTGGGAAGAGACGGAGGAAAGGAATGATTGAAACGGGACACGGTGATCCGCGGTGCCGCGTATAAAGCGACGCGTCCTCAATCCTACCAGATGCCAAGTCATCTGTCAGAACACCAGCTCACTCCTCCACCCGACTTCTCTTTTTTATTTCTTTCTTCCTTTCTCTTCATATTATTTTTTTTAAAAAAATTGTTTATATATTATTTTACAGCAAATTATAATTATTTTAATTATAATATTCTGAGTCCTGCAAACAGAATAATAATGGAAGTTGTACAGTTGTATCTTCATCTCTTGACGGTTGTCTGCTTCTAACTATATAATTAAAGTATTCCTTTTCGTTGTTCCGTCACACCGTCTCAATTTATCTTATTTACAATGTTAAATCTGCAGTAAGATTCTGATTTCAAAATAAATTTTCTATACTAAAAATATAATGCAATTTTTAGAGGGTACTATTATGTATACCATGCGCGAAAATTAATCTGCTTTGTTTAATTAATTTGAGTCGCAATAACATCGATTAAGTTTGGCAGGAAAAAAAATCGATTTAAAAAAAAAAAAAGAAGAAATCAAGGAAACAGTAAAAGGTCAAAAGTGAAAAAGCAGATTCCGTTCCCATCTCTGGCGGTAAAATTTGTTTGGCACCATTTGACTAATTATAAATAAATAATTTTTTTTTATAATTTATATTATATTTATTCAGTTTTTAATATAAAACCTAATTATTAAATTAATTTTGGTTCTAAATATAAGATTTATTCATCATATTTATTATTTTTTTAAAATTATCCTATGGATACTCCCTCAACTATAATTAATTAGAAGAGGGAGAAAGGATATTAAGAAAGATGATTATAGTGTTTTAAAAAAAATGTTATATTTCTTATAATTAACTAACTTATCTAACTTTTTCAATTTAATCAAATTAGTTAAATAGGTCTTATATTAAGGACCGGATGAGTATTTCGTAAATTATAATTAAAAAGCTGTTTTTAAATTTTTTTTTGAATGAGAAAAATTTATCTCATGAGATATAAATTAGTTTTTTTTTTCCAAACTCTTCCCAACCTGGCTCTGAAACAATCGGCTCACCTTTATTTTTGCCAAATGATTGTTTAAAAATAATAATCCCGCGACTGAAATTACACACACGCATTGAAATACTAAAATTTCAAATTACATATACAAATTGACACTAAAAAAGAAGGGAAAAAATGACAAGGGAATGTAACGTTATGCGGTCGGGAAAAGCTACCAGATTAGTGACTGGCTTTAACGGATGAACTGAGTGGATGGGATCAGCTTGGGTCCGATGTCGGGTTGTGTCATGGTTATCACGCTCTTAGTGTTATTTAACCGATATACCCAAGTGAAACCGCCCATTTTAAATCTAAACATTATATATGCAACTAATTTATAAAAATTAGTCATTTATAGAAAATGTAAATACTTTTTTAAATTGTAAGTTAGTTTTCTAAAATACTCTTTTTTTATTCATTTGTATTGAAAATAATCTAAAATTGATGGAAACCTTCCTTTAATATGAGCAGATTATAAAGATAATTTGTGGGGAAAATCAAGTGAATTATTGGTCTTCAACCCTTCCTGTTCAATTTTCCTATAACTAAAACTAATGAAGCATCCATTGATATAAGAAATGAAAAGAGAATCCGTACACAATAAAAAAAAGGGTTTTTTTTTTTGAACCGTTCTCTTTGAATCTGTTTGTTGGTAACACGTCACTGAGCGGCTCATAATAAAACCAGATTTAATCCTAAAATAAATTTGATTTAGAAATAGCACCAAATATTCACTTCTCACCTAAACCACTAATCCCCCCAAACCATACCTATATCAAAGGGAAAAAAATAAAGCAAAAAAAAAAATCACACTCACACAAAGAACCCAATATATTTAAATAAGAAAAACACCAGATTTAGTTGGCCAAGGAAAAAAAAAATCAGATTTATAAATATCAAATTAAATAACCATCTTTAACCTTTATTATTTTTCTCTCTCTGTTTGTACCTGCCAAGTACGATTACCTGTACCTCCACCCCCAACTTCTATCATCATCACCTTTCCATTGTCTACGCAACTGAATTTACCCTTTTACCCTTCTTTTTCTGTATATATTTTTCTTCTCCTTCCCTACTCCCCTAACTCAATCACACACAGTCTCTTTCTCTATCTTCACAGCTTTCTCTCTCCACCGCTGAAAAAAGTAACGATGAAGCATTTGATTCGCAGGCTTGCTCGAGTCGCCGACTCATCTCAGTATACACTCCTCAGATCCGATTCGCAGAGCCGTCGTTCTCGCCGAGTGCTCACCGCGGCAGGGAGGAGCCGGCGGAATCGCTCGAGGACGGCGGCTGCGGCGTTGGAAGGGCACGTGCCGATCTACGTAGGGGACGAGATGAGGAGATTCGAGGTGAACGCGGAGCTGCTGAACCACCCGATCTTCGTTAAGCTTCTGAACAAATCAGCTCAGGAGTACGGGTACGAGCAGAAAGGCGTGCTCCGAATCCCCTGCCATGTCTTCGTCTTCGAGCGTGTCCTCGAAGCTCTTCGTCTGGGACTCGACGACGCGCGTGACATCCACGATCTGCTTTCTTCCTCGTCTGAAGAGTTTTGCTAGGAACGGATGAAGAAGGAAAAGTAAGTTGCAGAAAATTAGGAGGGTGATGAAGGTGAATACAGTATGTTAGTGGGATCTTTTTTTCCCTGTAAATATACTTTACAATCTTGAAAGAGGCACAGAAAAATTTAGGTGTTTGTTAAGTTTCCGTTTTTCTTCTTGTTGCTCAGTGTAAATGCGAAGATATAATCACTTCGCTACTGGAAAAGCAACTAAGAAATGAGAGTCTCTTGTCTGCTTTTTGCATCCATCCTCGTTCTCCATTTTGCTTCTGGGAATTTTTACTTTCTCGGGAAACAAACGGAAAAGTGAACCTGAAAATTAATGCCCTGTACGGAGCACCAAGCTGCGCCTCATGCATCAGTTCAGTTTCATTCGATCGAGCTTGCCGTTTCCAACGGAAGACAGTTCTGATGATCCACTAATTTCTTTTTCTAAAGAATAAAAAAACAATCGGTCGTGGTACGGTTGCCGGCGGGAAAATTTGCGAAAGAGTGAAAATTAAAAAACATTCATAGGTTGAATTGGGAAAAATTAAGAAATTAATATATTATTAGTCTTTATAATTTGATCAAATTTTGAGTTTTGATATCAAATAATTGGTTTTTAATTCTTACAATTTTATAAGAATTTGGTCTAAATTTAAAAATAAAAATCGGGATCAAAATTTTCTAAAAGTAGAGGAATTATTTGTTAAACTGAGATCCAAAAATTATAAAACTCTAAGGATTGCAATCAAAATTTAGTTGAACTATAAGTACTAATAATGATATTAATTTTATTAAAATTAAAGTTCATGAGTATTTCTCATTTTGTATGGACATTATAATTCACGGGGGGAAATTGCAAGAAGTGGGAAGGAGGAAAGGAAACATGGAACAAAACGTAAATGCTTGTGGGTTGAGCAGATATATTAGATAAATAGTAATGATTAAGCCGAATAGCCAATGACGTTGGCAGGTCAGCAATGTAATTTCCGTGATCTGAGGATGCCAGCGTCATTTCGTCTTTCGGGAGGAGGACTGTTTCGTCATTCCAGAGACATATTTATTTTTTATTTTTTTTGGGAGATGGTAACGTAACATAGACATGGCATTGGCTAAAATAAAATTTAAAGAGAGAGAGAGAGAGAGGAGAGAATGTGACGTAAGCAACTGGTCCCTTCAGAGCCCTTAGACTGGGACCGGGAACATTATTGAAAGATGCTGTAATAAGGGTCTAAGGCCCTAAACAAGCTGCCTTTTATACCAATGAAAGTGCTTTGAACATAATCTCTCCCAAATTGCATTATTCTTACGCTACTAATTTTATATTATATTTATATCAGAACACGACATATATATTATTTAATTATATAACTAGACATTACATTATGCACGTGAATAGTTTGATTAATAAATCTTATTGCCAATTCGCCCTTCTATCGACCTGTGTGATATATTAGTTTCAGTTTTAGTTATAAGACCTTATTTGTAATCTATAAAAGAGGTCTTATAATTAAGATCGGAACAGTATATTTTGTTATTAAATACCTTACACCGGCCCGCAAACACACAAACTTGACTTCATTTGTAGAGATATTATATATTTTGTTTGTTTTGAATTGGAAAATTTTATATACATTTGTCATTTTTTTGAACATTTCAGAAATAAACAACTAATAGATGTAACTAATTTGTTGTTGTGTTAAACCATCTTAGTGCCTGTTTGGCATCACTTATAAGTAGCTTATAAGCTCTATAAGCTTTATAAGCTCGATTGACACAATTGGGTCTGTTTGGATCAGCTTTTCTACAATCGGGCTTTTGTCTGAAAAGCTACAATAAGCTATAAGCTAAAATTAACAGCTTATGACTTATAGCTTATGGCTTATAGCTTTTGAAATATGGAGAGAGAAGAAGTTAAGAAATTTATTACCTCTTTTGGTTCTTATTATAAGCCTCAAATAACTAATTTGTAGATAATAAAAAAATCAGTTAAAATTAGTTGAAAGTAATGAATAAGTTAGAAATATATTTTTATTTTTAAATATACTCCTAAAAATATACTTTTATTTTTTCATGTTTCACTTTATATTTAAAATATTTTTTATGACTTCTTCATATTAAATTATTTTAATTTCATTGTATTATGTGAAATTATTTTTTTAATCATGTTTCATTATTTATTAACACTCATATCTATTTTGGTCATTTTACAACCAAACTTACTTTTACTCAATCATAATCCAAATAACCTTTTACCAATATCACTTTTGCAATCTAGCTTTTCTGAACTCTAATTCAAACACAATTCAGCTTATCCAATTTAGCTTTTATCCAATTTCACTTCTCTATAAGCTACTCTTTCAATAAACTGCTTTTCCAATCGCTGATCCAAACGGACCCTTAATACTTGAATGCTTCTGTTAGAGAAGCAAAAACATGTTGGATTATGTCATCGCTCATTGCGTTTCATTGGTAAAAACTTGTGATGTAATCTCTAATAAAAATAAGAGGCAATGCCTGCATAAATGCATTTTTTCAATAAGAAAAAGTTAGTGAAAAGACCATGTTTAAAAAATTTATTGGCCGCAAGAACTTAGATTCGAGCATCAATATTTTTTGCGAGTGTAAAATCCTTTAAAGTAGCTGTACTTTCTTTCAATAATTGAAAATTTTTACGTGAGAAACCAAACATATGTTTAAACTCTTGTTAAAGTTTTAATTGATGTTTGAGTGTTTTAGTTGCAGTCCAATTGGAATGTTGTAAACAGCCAACAAATAGAAGAATAATCACCAATTTTGTCAATGATTTTCATTAATCACTCGCGATAATTATTTTATCTATTCAACAAAACTGTTATTAATTATTAGCATATTGTTGTTAGTCTATCTCGTTTTCATTTTCATAAATTGCGGCCATATTTGGGAGCTTCCATTAAAATTTGTTTAAGCCGTACGTGATTTCAAAGAATCGTGCACCTAAACGTGTTTTGTTTTTTTTTTAAATTGTGAGCATCATATAATATAAGAAGCTAAAGAGCAGGCGAGTGATAGATAGAGATGGCTAAATTTATTGAAAAACCTACCCAGAGGAATCCAATAATGTCTTAAGCTTGGCTTTATATGGACAAAGGAAGAGGTGGTCACATCGGCCACCTAATTTGCAATTAATAAGGAGGATGAATTCTTTGAACAAATAATGGAAGGCAGCTACTTATATGTATTTTGAAAAATTAGGTTAAGTGTAGGTGTGAATCTCTCAAACACTCTATGTGTAATGTACCACAAATTATATATATATATATATATATATATATATTTTGCTTCACGGAAGGGGAACCATATTGCAACAATATTATTAATGCCTTCCAAGAATGTTTTCTTATTTTAAGATCAAAATCTATCAGAGCATGCCCCCATCATTTGTTTGTATATTAATATTGATCAGCATGCCTCTTGTTGCTTCTTAATTTCTTGTTAATTTGACAATTTTTTTTACTTATTTACTAAACTTCTTGGTTTCAATTTGATCGTTCTCTTTATATTTCTTTGGACTTTAATTAATTGCTCTCGTAAATTAATAATACTTGAGTTTAGCTTTTTATTTTGTATATCATCACCCAATTTACTTTCAATTTTGTTTGTATATTATTACTCGAGTTTAATTTCAATAAGCTTGTCTTGAGTTTAGTTTTATCTGCTTTTGGATGAGTACGTAGTCTAATTAATGTTTTATTCTCTATTGTTTCGGATGAGAATATAACTGGTATAAGGATATATATAATGTACCCATCAAAGATGTGTTACGTATATAATTAGACACTTTTAGTTGGAAGTGTTTAATAAGCTTTTATAATAAAGACAAAGATGAGGAGTGAGCGTATTAAATTAGTGGTTCATTAATTCCAATTAACTATGATTAAGAAAAAGTAATTATATTAAGGAAGAAGGCTTGAATTGGTGTTGCCTGGCATGTTACATCCATAATCAGTGCTGCAGGTAGAATCATTAATTATAATTTACGAAGTAATTAATGTGAGCAACCTATATATCTCATCAGCATCATCACCTCCTAAATTATAATTATGGGTTTTACTATTTCTGGTCAAATTGTTTTGGTGTGAGTCTTCATTTCCATATATCCAATTTTTATGACATATATTCAAAGGGTTTGGTGCGTCTACGAGAGACTACGAACAATGTGAAATTTTTTTTCTTTTCTGGATTTAATTTAGGGTATACGTCATGTGGTTAGGTTTCCGCAGACGAGAAGTACTGATAGGGATATATGAATGTACATGACAAATTCATAGAATATAGCGTACTGTTTTGTAATTTTGTTCACTTATCATACATAAGGTCAATTTTCTGCTGCCAAACTTAATATTTGAATATTTGGCAAAAAATCATTTTTGTTTTTTCTAACTTTATAAAAAATTTTAGTTTGGTCTCTTAATTTTATAAAATTACTTCCTCCGATTCTATATGTAAGTTACGATTTTTGTGATAGAATTGGTTTTTTTTTTATGAGTTATACTTTGTATATGTCTAAAAATTTAATTCACTTTTTTTCCCATTATTGTAAGTTTTTTTTTTTTACCAGCACCCATTATTGTAAGTTTATAAACATCAACCACTTATAATAATCATAAAATTATCTTAACATTATGATTTATTATTAGGATCAAATATTATATGTTACTGAGATCCGCAACATATCATCAATATACTACATGGGAATGCATTAATGATGACTTGTTCTAGGGGGAAGGCAAACATACAGTACTTAATTATAGGAACAACAAAACTTATGTGTTTGGAATCACATCTGGACCTTCAAACTGACTTCTCTACTGGCAAAAAGAGCTTTTTTGATTTGGGATGTGTTTGGAATCACATTTTTGCAATCTGACTTTTGTGACTGAAACGGACTTATACAATAAGCTCAAAGAAGCTGCTTTTATCTAATCTGATTTCTGTAAAAGTCAGATTGAAAAAAAAGTTACTTCTCCACTGCTAATCCAAACACACCCTAAGGGCTTATTTGAGGTGGCTTTTGGGAGAAAGAAATGGTCCAAAAGGAAAGAAGATGAGCGAAAATTTTGAAAAATGGATACAAAAAAAATAAACTCATTCTCATCACAATAAAAATTACTTTAATTAATTCATCAATACCAACAAATAGTAGTTTACTTGTGCAGTTTGTCTTAAATTGAAACTCGTCTCCAACTTTACCTGTGTTAAATGAGGTTGTGAGTGAAGAAAA